TGGATTTAGGAATTGGAAATGAAGAACGACTCAAGAACATGAAGAAACTACGAAAAAGATGAAATTTACTGACTCAACAAGAAAATAAGGGATATAACCCGATAGAATTGGAGCCAAAACTCTGATGCCAATTGATGTGAGCCCCATAGCAACGGTGGCTACGAAACCCACAATTAGATTGATGCGGAACCTAAGAACATTAATTAAACTCGATTTTGGATTTGAACCCAACAAGGTGAAACAAAAAACCTAACGATAACAACGATACGTTGAACCCCTTGATTACATAATGAATAAACCACTATCCGATGTTTGAACACTACAAGATTTAGAATTTGATAAGTTCGATTGATTGTTCAATGAAGAACAAGGAAAACAGTAGCCTCTTAATTAATAATTTTTCAAAATCCTAATACAATGAAAGTTTTTGGTATTTATATCAAACTTTAGAAATTAGGTAAAAACGTGCATAATCTAATAAATAAGGTAGGATATTGACTAAACATAGAATTCTAGTAAAATAAGGAAATTCGCGAAAAAATAAAATTTCTCCCCGGATGCGACGCAGTTGCACTTCTTTTGGGCGTATGGGCGCTCTCAGCGGACGCGGGGTGCCAATACCCCCCTGTAATATCCAGCTTCCAGTTGAGCGCGGAGGGCGCCACTACCCCATGTAATATGCGGGTTAACTTTGGCTTTCAGGTTCAACTGCTTGAATCAAACTCATCCATCCCGATTTCGACCTTGACCCCAACATGGAATTTGCTCCAATCTTTGTCATGATCGCCATATCGTCAACCGTAGCTTGAACAAGCAATGCCTCGCTTCTTTCACTGCTTTGCCCTCGATCGAGTCATCGGTCCTTCTTCCACTAGCAATGGATCCTTCCCTGGACTTACCCTCGTCTCGATGACACCTTGGATCATATCAGTTGAGCTTTACCTTGGATATAAAATTGAGGGTTTTTTTTCCATTGTGCCAATGTTAGGGTATTGTCATGAAATAATTATATTATTAAGGGTCCGTTTGATTGCAGAGTTGGAAAATGAGTGGAAAGAAAATGTTTTACAGGGAATTGATTTTCCTAGAAAATGTTTTATTGGGAATTGTAATTAATTGTGTTTGATTGGTAAAATTTTCTATGGAAAATGTAGAAAGTATTGTGTCCATTTGACTTCATTTTTTTATGGAATTTGTCCATTAAAGTGATAATTTTTT